TATACCAAGGGACAACTTGGAGTCAAACCTGGAGAAACCAAGATGTTGGGGCTACCATGGAACAAAACTGAAGACACCATCGCTGTCATATTCCGAGAGGCCTCCCCAAAAGTATCTAAGAGAGAAATGTTGCGATTCCTTGCTTCTATCACTGAAAAGCCCCTATGGGGAGGCCCTGAAAAGCCCTGAAAAGGTCCTATGGGGAGTGGTCAAGTAACGTATGTATGTGTATGTATGTATCACTTATGGGGAAGCTTTTGTATCGAGAAGTCTGTGACCAACACCTCCCACGGGACCAGAAAGTACCCGAGACCATCGCGTAGCAGTGAAGAAAATTCGAGAGGAACCATCTAGACCAAGTTCAAGTCACACGCAGTTTGGCAGGCTTTAAGGAAGTTATTAAAGCGATCGATTTACATGCGTTTCGAGACACAAGTGGGGTTGAAACAGTAGCTGCTGTGTATGCAGTAGTCCATCAAGCTTTCGGTGTCAACGAAGGATTACTGGCCGCAAAATCACGCTTGGCAAAAAAGGGCTTAACCATTCCTAGACTTAAACCTGTGTCTGCACACATGGCAGCGAACCTTGTGGAAAATGTAAGGAACGCCCTAGAAGGCCAGCTAGTAAGATCAGTTCATGGATGGCTGGATAGTACAGTGGCCCCACATTGGATCATAGGAGAAGGCAGTGCCTACAGGCAATTTGTGGCTAACCGAGTAAACTACATACAAGAGAAAGAGTACATTCAATGGAGACGTGTCGGTACCGACCAGAACCCACTAACTTTGGCAGCAGAGGTTGTCAAGCAGACAAGCTGAGCGAGCTATGGTCAAAAGAGCCAGAATGGTTGACAGAGCCTGGTCATTGGACAGTTGACATTCTTCCAGAACCGAACAAAGACACCGAAGCGGAAGCCAAAGTTACGAAGAAGATCTTTGCCACCGTTACGGAGACCAAGGACGACCTTGATGAAGTTCGGATGCAAAATGTTCCAAGCAAAAGCCTTAGGAAGTCCACCACCCGGAAACTTGCCAATTCACCGTACCATGGGGTCAGTCCCTTTCCAAGTGCTGGGCGTGGACTACGCTGGCCTAATACAGCAAGAAGAGAGGCTGATAGTTTCGAAAGAAACTGTTTGGGGCTGCGTCGGTGGGAGTAACGAAATAATTTGGATATATCAACAAAGTTGAAATAGTAAATTGGCCACCGTAATGATTACAAAAGCTGAAAAAGCGAAGCTCCGACGAAGGGCTAACGCTCGAAACGTCAACTTTTGTAATCATTACGGTGGCCAATTTACCATTTCAACTTTGTTGATATAGAACAAGAAGAGAGATGGGAAAGCTTATATCCTGTTATTTTCCTGTAGTCTGACCAGAGCTATCCACCTGGAGTTGGTAAGTAACCAAACCACTGAAGAACTTGATTCATGAAAGCCTTCAAGCGGCTCACAGCTAGAAGAGGGAGACCACAAAAGGTTTATTCCGACAACGGAAAGAGTTTCGTCACAGCTTCCAAATGGTTGGGAGGTATCATGAGAGACGAGAACATGCAGAACTACCTATCACACCAGCATATTACATGGTAGTTTAACCTGAGCCGAACACCGTGGTAGGGCGGTCAGTGTGAGAGGATGGTGGGACTCGTAAAGCAGGCCTTGTACAAGTCTTTTGGGGGAAGCGAATCTCGCATGGAGAGAGCTAGAATAGGTTATCCTAGACGTTGAAATCACACTTAACAACCGTCCTCTTACCTATCTAGAAGATGATAACCAGTTATCCTTCCTAACACCACATGCTAAGATGTTTTGTCAACCCAATCAGGTGCCGGAAGATGATCCTGATGCAATCGAAAACAAGGATTTAAGGAAGCGCACAAGGTGTCTCCGTCGCTGCAAGGATGTGATGTGGACCCGATGGACCGAGGAGTGCATAAGGAGCCTTCGAGAAAGGCATAACCTCAATCACCAGAAATGAAAACCGGTGATTAGTAAAACCAGAGATGTCGTCCTGATCCAAGGTGACGATCGGAACAGAGGAAAACAGAACCTCGGGATTGTAGTCTAGCTTGTAAAGGGCAGAGACGGTGTGATCAGGGCAACAAGACTGAGAACAGGGAAATCGTTCCTTGAGCAAGCAATCCAACAGTTGTGTCCAATCGAGTTGTCGGGTGACAATAACCAGGAACGCCGAGTTCCAGTGCTTAACTTAACAGTCAGAGAGTTTCAACCCAGACGTGATGCCGCTGCAGCTGCAGGACAGCGTGTTAAGGATATTGCTCGACAAGAGGAACTATAACCCAAACGAGTGCTTCACTGTGTAGTTGATGACTACGGAATCAAATAGGGGAAGAGTGTCGCGACCGGAAATTGTATTGCGTGACATTAGTATATCCTTGCATCAAGGTGCACCGTGCGCGGGATCGCTGAACTTTGAATAATCGCACATGTACGAGTTTTTTTTGGGAGTTTTTGCCAGAGTGAGTGTAAGAAAGGGAGATGAGATTAAAACGTTGTTCTAATAAGGTGAGTTTCCTTTGTCGGTGTAAACCAATTCCCGACACGCCTTTTTTTTAGACTCGTAAATTGCTTCAGTCCTGTTTTGATGAAAACTGATATAACTAAAAATGAACAGAGGGAAGGGATATTAACAAACATTGCGAAGGTTTTGTCCTTGAGCCACAGTGAATGTCTCTCTCTCCAAAGCTAAAGCATGCATATATCGTAAAATGTAGCACCTTTCACAATTTCACGACTTTTGACAACTTCCTTGTCAAATCCCCTTGTCCGCGCGAGAATTGGCTGCGAGAGATTGGATCGGACTGTTTCTAATGCATGCATCAGGAGTTTTAGACTTCCTGTTGGATCGCACGGCATTGTGGGCATGCGGTCTCAAAAACAGAGGGTATCAACTTGCAGCTTCGCCAGATTCGAATACATAGAGTGACTTGGATTCAGTGACTTTTTACGCAGGAAAGCCCCTCTTCTCAGGCGAATTATACGTGAGGGAATATAAGGAAACCAAATCTAAGGTATGTTAAAGGTGAGCTGATTTTTCATTCCTTTTAGGCAGCGTCATTCTAAAGATTTTAGTCTTAGACAGTAGTTGATTTGAGAAGCTACGAGTATGATGTTTGCTTCTTTTCTTACTTACGTTGTACTAATCTTTTGTTCTAATTCAGGTACTTTGTCGATGGGATTCGGCCACCGAAACTGTGTAGTTATAGGCTGTCCTAACGGTGGACAAAGGCTAGGAAAATGGGCTGCTACGACCTGTGCACTTCAGAGTTGGAAAAATAGCTCAAGCATGTGAGTGCCAGCCACCCTTCAAATTATTCCCATTCCCGACAGAAAAGAAGAAACTAGAACGCCGATTACAATGGGAAAAAAATATAAATAGGAACAGTTTGAATGGGACTCTTTGGATGACTAACAAGGATTCGTTTAATCAAACATGAACTGCCTCTCTGTTATCGGTAATCTCGGTAATATTATCATTGTCTGTGCTGCATTATGCAATTTGTACAAGCCTCTTAGTAAGTAACATGTTTCTTTTTGTCTTTTTGTTTTTATCAAGCCATAGAGTAAAATGTGTAATGCACGAGGAAAGCCATACTCCCAACATGGAGGGAATTGGAAATTCCAATTAGGGAGGGGCTTTGCTGCAAGTTTTATAAGGAACTGAGAACAGTATAATTAATGTTAAAAGCAACTTTTTGTAATTAGCAACTTTAACAACATTTTCTACTTTTGAAATTGCATATCAAGGATTAAACAAAGCTATGACTATACAATAATACATGCACTTGTTCAATAATTATACTGTGCAGGCTATGTGGAGATATGACTAGCTGTTTACAAAATTTTCTCAGTCTGATGAATTTTCTAGGTTTTTTTTACATAATGTATTTTTGAAGTAGTTTCAGCGCTGATGAAAGACAAATAATATAAAACCAGGCTAGATTTTCTTTAAGCCTACACTAGTATGTGGCATTAAAGGTGATTGTTTCCATGTGATAGCCCTTGTGTGCATATACAAAGAAATAGAACAATGGCCTCTTTGTTCTGGCCATCTCACCCTTGACCTGCGCAAGCTACTTGCCCATTACACCTATATAAGTATGACAGATTATGTGGTGAGGGAATTTCATTGGCAATGCTAAAAGGGTTCTTGATCTCCACTACTGCTTCCCCACAACAAGAGCACTCTTATAGTAAGTCTGGGGATGCTCCCAGGTACTGTTTAGTTTTGTCAATGAAGATACCACATTCTCTGTATGAAACATCCTTGGATGTGCAAACTGGGTTGGTCATTCCACTCCTATTAGCAGCCTCAACTCTAAACAGCAATGCTGTGATGTGAATACAAGAGCTGCTCTCTCTGAAATTAAAAAAAAGGGGATGAAAATGATCATGAAGCATCTGGAAACCTCGGCACAGTTGGGGGTTCAAGAAACAATGCCCTGGTCCTAGTTTTCTGCAGTACATGCATCAGGAGTTCCAGACTTCCTGTTCAACTTGCAGCTTCGCCATTTTGGTATACATAGAGTAAATTGACTTCAGTGACTTTTCATGTCAACGAAGTGTAGATTACAAACTCTTGAATCCTTGTTAGGCATCCAAAGAGTCCCATTCAAACTGTTCCTATTTATATTTTTTGCCCATTGTAATCCGCGTTCCGGTTTCTTCTTTTCTGTCGGGAATGGGAATAATTTGAAGGGTGGCTGGTAGTCACACATGCTTGAGTCATTTTTCCAACCATGAAGCACACAGGTCGTAGCAGCCCATTTTCCTAGCCTTTGTCCACTGTTAGGACAGCCTATAACTACACAGTTTCGGTGGCCAAATCCCATCGACAAAGTATCTGTATTAGAACAAAAGAAGTACAACGTAAGTAAGAAAAGAAGCAAACATCATACTCGTAGCTTCTCAAATCGACTACACTCTAAGACTAAAATCGTTAGAAGAACGCTGCCAAAAAGGAATGAAAAATCAGCTCACCTTTAAAATACCTTTGATTTGGTTTTCCTATATTCCCTCACGCATAATTCGGCTAAGAAGAAGGGCTTTCGTGCGTGAGAAGTCACTGAATCCAAGTCACTCTATCTATTCGAATATGGCGAAGCTGCAAGTTGATGCCCAATTTTTTGAGCCCGCATGCCCACGATGCCGTGCGATCCAACAGGAAGTCTGGAACTCCTGATGCATGTATAAGTACTAGCTTTTTTTCCGAGAGGCTGTGTTTGGATTATTTTAGGCCCACTCAAGTCCACTCAATTCGTTCCTTTCGTGATGGCTGACTTGGAAAAACTGGTTCGCTTGTTGCTCCATGGTTTTCCTATCTACAAAAGTTTCGTAGAATCTTCTAGAAAGAACTATGTGTTGAATGCGGAGTATTATTCGAAAGATGATATCCGCTACGTCTTTACGGGAAGCTTCCGGGAGGGATACCCGGACATTTTATTAAGTGATACCGACCTCATAGTGATTCCACATCCTTCCACAGAGAACTGGTCTTTGGAAACTCAAAGTAAAGTTTTTCAGATTGTTAATGAAGCACCAGCCCACGTTAAGTTAATCATTCCTTCAGGTTATAGGCAGCGCTTCAAAGAGAAGTACCCTGAGATTTCAACCTTCCTTGGTCTTCTGGAAGCCGAACAAGATTGTTGCTTTGTGTCAGCTGAGATTGCGAGGAAACTTAACGAGCGAGACTTTCTTCACGAGTTTATGGCTGAAAGTAAGCCAAGTGCAAAATGGACCGCTCCATTAGTGGGTGCTGAGAGCAAAATCTCGGTATCCTACACCTTTCGTTCTCCGTCGAAGGTTGATGACAAAGGGATCTATCGTGGAATCGAGGCCGACCGTGTGCTAGCGATCGAATGCACTGGATGGCCGACAAATGCTAACGAATGGAAAATTAGGCAGCCTAGAAACTGGCCCAGTGCTGTTGTGGTGGAAAATATCACCTCCAACGGCTTTATGATCGTACCAAAGCCTTCCGACCTTTCAGGAGACACTAGAAAGGAGTGGCGATTTTCGTTTTCGAACCCAGAAGCGGAACTTTTCAAGTGTTTCACAGAAGAGCAATCCAAAGTTTACTACTTACTACGTTCTTTGTATGCGAGGTACTTCAAAGAAAAACTGAGAGGAGTAGTAACCTCCTATCACTTTAAAACAGTGATGTTTTGGACGCTCGAGGAAGAAGACCCCAGCATTTGGTGTGAGGAAAGTACCTTGAACCTATCACTACGGGTTCTTAAGAAGCTCCTACGATTTATTCAAGACGGGTTTTGTCCTCATTTCTTCATCCGCAATCACAATCTGTGTTACAAAACATCGAAGACAGCGCTTGAAGGTGCTGCGACTGAAATTGCTGTCGTTTTTCAGGACCCTTCGGTTGTGTTTGACAAGGTAGTAAACTGCCAGGTTCTGGGATTGATGCTTCGCCTGAAACTGTTAAATGTAGACGTTGAGGGAAGATTAGAAAGGAAAATTACAGGCCACGCTTCTTTCATCCATTTAAAAGCGCCTAGAGATGTAGAGCTGAAGTGTGTGTCAGAGACCTTGGAAGATTGTGCCATCTCTATCGAAGCACCTGCAGATGAAGTTCCCTTTTTGTTTGAGGTGTACATTGCCGCTCTTCTACAGGGTCACCAATTTGCTTTCACCATGGGGAAAAGTGAAAGCGAACTTTCCATGATAAAGGAGACTTCTGTGGAAGAAGACTTCTTTAAGATGAATGTAGCACATATGAACCAGTCCTTTTTGTTGTGGCTTCAGCTGGGTAAGATTGCCGTTGACCTTACTACAAAAGAGACAAATGACAAACTGTTTTCGTTCTTTTGCAAGTTTTACAGATTTGTGAGACGGCAGAATGGTCCTCTTAATAAGGAAGAAAAGGAAACTATGGATATTTTTGAAGATGTTTGTCGCACCTCTGGGGCATTCTTAGCTACAGTCAATTTTGACGCAAAGAACATTTCATATCAACAATTGCATGAGTTGGTTTGTGATCTCCTTCCAGTTGACGCAAATATCACCCAATCCCCTTGTGACATTTTTCTCACTCTCTTCATACTTACTGGTGCAACCTGCAAGATGGCAAAAAGTTTCCTAGAGTAAAAATTTGATTACTGCAATTAAAAGTGGAGTGAAGTACAGTAAGTTTGGTGATGGGGTTTTAACCTTAAAATTGTATTGTTGTCACATGCAAGATTCCTCATTTTTGGGAGTAACTGAATCTCAAGAGCTGTGCGTCACTAACTGTCAAATGTGAAAGCCCACCAAAAGAGGACAAACAACATGTGGCTACTGGAAACAGAGCCAGTTACCCATGACAACAACACAATTTTAATGTCAAAATGTGGTTGGGATACTATTCCCTGCCTCAATCAACTAAAACTTGTAATACTATTGGAATGGAGTGGAAAAAAATCCAAAAGAGGGGGTGGAGGGAATTTGAGCAACACTGTAAGCTTCCCTCACTCACTAGTAGAACAGCAAGAAGGGATCATCATGTCATATTCTTTCTCATTTCTAATAGAAAGAAATGCCTGCTACATTAAGCTGTTTTTCAGGATTTTCACACACTTTTTTTTTGAGTAGCAATGAGCTTTCTATTATTAATTTCCATTTGTAAGAAACAAACATATTTGAAATAAAAAAGGCTCTTAAAACTAAAAAGAGATATGTTGTCAAAGTTCCCTTGCTCCCCCTTCCCCTCCCCCCCCCAAAAATATATCTTCTTGTAATGACATACAGTGAAAAAGCCTTGGCCCACTTTCTGCCATGATCTTAAAGTGAAAAATCTCTGTACCACATGGTATAAGCTAAGGGCTTATGACTGTGATGTAACTGTACTGTCCATTAAGAACATGATAAATTTTTATTCCTACTATCATGTTTGCCAAGGGTTAAATATGACTATTACTGTTTCTGTTCATGCTATGTAGAAAAAAAAAGTCTTGGAATGTTCCCACACCTGACTCTTCAACTGTGAAATTTTGTAAAAATGAAATCAGTATTACTCAAGCAACAATTAAACAGTACCTATATTTTTGTTCAATGGCTGAATTATCAGTGATGTAAGGACAATAGTTCCAAAAATCTTTTAGTTAAAAAGTTCTCATCACAGCCCCAAGATAGCGACAGCTATTAACTGTAATTATTGTGCATCCTCTTGTGTCATACCTACAGACAATACGTTTGATACATGTAGAAATGATGTCATACCTACAGAATGTTTTTATGTGCTCTTGTCTTTACAAGTGCAGCTTGGGAATATGCATAATAACACAATTATTGGATTCACCAAAGAATGATAACTAGCATTGAGTTTTTCCCTTTAGTATCATCCTCAATTCAAACATCAACATCATGAAAACAAATGAAATTATTAGCTCTTCAACTCCCAGAAGTGATTAAACTGTAACTTCTCCCAATAACATCCATACATGATACAGCCAAACAGGCAACATGAATACTCAAACTTATCAAGTAGAAGTTGTTGTCATGATCAAACACTTAAGTCTCATAACTAATTTACAAGGGAATAGGTAACAGTTAGAGGGGAGAATTAACAATCAGATCTTGAAAATTAAAGGGTTAAACAGCTCTTAAAATTTGATATTTTTTATTCAAGCATGTTACTATTTTATAGAGGATATTACATGAGGGGGACTTTGGGATTTTTGGTTTTGACTGTTTTTTGGATCGGTTTTTGGGCCAAAAAGGTTCAGTTTTTCGGTTTTGATGTTCAGAGCCGTTTGCACATTTTGCATGCTTTTGCATTCGCTTTTCGGTTTTCACGAAAACTCTGATGTGGTTTTTGGTTTTTCCTTTTTGACCCCTTTGAAGGTGAAAATGTAGCGGTTTTATCAGGTTTACATGCGGTTTTCGGTTTTGCCGCCTTTTTTCGTCGGTTTTTCGGTTTTGGAGGTTTTTTCTTCAGTTTTGCAGTTTCCCAGAGGCCCCAATGCCCCCCTGTTACATGGCTGCAGGGGGATATGAATTTTATTTATGAGTATTGTAAGTATCTCTAACAAGTGAGCGATTTCGGCATGAGAAGACATAGTTTGTATCCCCAAGTGGCTATGTAATGTTTTGTTTATTTTATAGATACTGATGAAATTTCCACATAAAACACAACTTTTTTAAATTCATTTTTGAAACAACAAAATAGCACAATTAAAGTGGTAACCAATCGCAAAATGCTTGTCACAAAAATGCTATGAAACTTGGATATAAAGTTATAAAGGAGAAATGAATATAATACTTACATTTTTATATTTTCTGTTCCAAAGAGTCAAAATTTTACTGAAAAAAATAGTATTATCATGTTAGTAACCAAGGCGACACCAATATCCTCACATGTGAAAGATAAAAATAGTATCTTCACTGTGCACCATGAAGATATGATTTTTTAGCAAAAGGAAAAATCCTAGAATTTCATCAGTATCTATATAATAATAATATCATTATTATTATTATTATTATTATTATTTTATTACTCTCCTTGTCAGTCATCAAAGAAAGGTATATGAAGGATTTACACCAAGTGCAAATTACTGAAACTGAAGAATAAAATCCTTGGCTGTATATGACAGGTTACCATTGGAGACGATAACTATTACAATAAGTTGAACCATGAAATGATCTCTATGGAGAAATAAAATCACCAAGAAAACCAACCTAACTACTATTTGTGTTGAGATCAGTAAATCTGCTCCTCTGATGACGTCATGGTAATTGCTCGCCCCAGTTTCCTTAGTGCTCAGTATTGGGGTTTATGGGAAATATTGTTACAAATTATAAACACAAGAGTTCTTAAAGAAAAAACGCCAATACTTGAGCGTAATTTAATAGAATAAGTACGATATCTATTAAACCAGGATGAAGTTGAGGTTAGATGCACTTGAAATAAGTCTGTTGATCAGTCAGCCATGTTTTCCTGCTTGTTATCCTCTTTCTTTCACCAACATCGAAACAGGGACAACACAAGTCCACCAAAAATAAACTCTTCACTAACCAACCAATCTATGGTTGGCTGTCTTCATTTTGTTCAAATTTTCATAGCAAATATTCCCAAATTCAGACTAGAAAAGAAAGGATGGCTAAGTACGGTGGCCCACAACTGTCACGGCAATAACAAATACCTCCCGACAAAACCAAAATTGTCACGGCGATAGCAAATTCCTCACGGCAAAACCAAAAAGCTCACGGCAAAATCAAAAAGCTCACGGCAAAACCAAAAAGCTCACGGCAAAAACAGAAACCCCACGGCAAAATCAAAATGTTCACAGCAAAAACCAAAAAGCTCACGGAAAAACCAAAAAGCTCACGACGAAACCAAAAAGCTCACGGCAAAACCAAAAAGCTCACGGCAAAACCAAAAAGCTCACGGAAAAACCAAAAAGCTCACGGCAAAACCAAAAGCTCACGGCAAAACCTAAAAAGCTTACGGCGAAACCAAAATACCTACTTGCTCACGGCAAAACCAAGGCCAGCAGATCCGTGGGTCCTGGACGCTAATTGTGCTCGCAAAGGCCGCTGCAAGGGTGTTACGAAAACTAAGACCCCCTAAAATCGAATCCGTCGAAATATAAAGTCAAATTGTAACCAAAACAGGTCTAATCTGTCAAATTATCTCCTGTCCGATCCTTTCCACCGAGTTTTAGGTCAAATACGGTTTAGGGTTAAGAGCCCAAAGAAAGCTCATATTCGATAATAAATCCGGTTAGATTTCTCGTGTTACTGTAACGTTACGAAGCGAAGAAATGTGACAAAAAAAGCGAATGAAAAAAAAATTATGTCTTTGCAAATGGTTTCACAACATGGGAAGTGATCCAGCTGTCAAGGAAACTCTCCTAACAAGTCCAAGTTCCAGACAATAAAATTTCCCGAGCAGAATCGGTCACATTTACTGACTTCTTCTTACTGACCCCGTAAATTTAATTTACCTTTAAATTTGACCTAAAACTCGGTGGAAAGGATCGGACAGGAGATAATTTGAAAGATTAGACCTGGTTTGGTTACAATTTGACTTTATATTTCGACTGATTCGATTTTAGGGTCTTAGGTCTTCGTTTTCGAGGGTCTTAGTTTTCGTGACACTCCTTCAACCTCCAACAGCCTTTGCGCGCACAATTAGTGTCCAGGACCCACGGATCTGGTTTTGGTTTTGCCGTGACCTTTTGGTTTTGCAGTGAGCTTTTTGCTATTGCCGTGACAATTTTGGTTTTGTCGGGAGGTATTTTGTTATTGCCATGACAGTTGTGGGCCACCGTAGGCTAAGTTCTTTGATGCGTCTACTGCTTCTTTACTCAAATAATCCTGACACGGGCCGGAAACTGGGTGTGGTAGCTGTCGATAAACTCGGTGAAAGTTGTGAAACGACCAACTCTTTTTTTTTCGTTTTTACGACATGACAGTCTATTGCACAGCTAAACATTTCTCTACTTGGAGGTTATTGAAATAAAAGGAAAACAAAGCAGGCCAAAAATACAGCTTCTTAAAATGTTTAGCTTTTTTTTCATTCAGAAGTTCATCAAGTTCATGTATTCCAGACCGAGTAGCCGGTAGAGATGTAGCGCCTTTTTTTCAAGAAGCCCACGTGACACCCATCGGATGGAACTCCTTGCAGTACTGTTGTAGTTCGATTAAAGCGCCGATGAAACTGTGAGCCCACTCAGTGTGCAATGGATCTCTGAAAAACGAAAAACGATATTTTATGGTGAAGAGTCTAACTTCAACATTTCCGTTAAATGATTTCCAAACTAATTGCAATATTAACGACACTAACTGTTTGAAGTCCTTCAAAACTCGGTTTGTATAGAAAACCGCTCCATCCTTCCTGTCCCTCACAAAAATATCTGGCTTTCCAGGCTGCGAGAGGAAAAAGAAAAGATTTTTCTTTCAAGTGCGCACTGTCTCTATATTCCCCCAATTTTCTTTCCCTGCACTATCTTAACAGTGCTTCATTCGCATTTTCCACGAACTTACTGTTGAACAAACACTGCAGAGATAAGGTCACGCGTCCTAGCATAAGGGCGCGCCGTAAAGGTCACGGTAAACAAAAATAAAAAAGAATATATAGTCTTACCGCTCCCACCCATAACAGTGCATCCATTCCTTCACTGACCGCTGACAGATGGTTGAATTGTTTGCTTGAACGGTTACGGTCGCGGAAAGCCTGGAACAAATAAAGCCTATTAGTGAACACTTAAAGAGCTTTTTTATTGAGTGCCGTGAAACCAAAATCAATTGAATGTCAACAGCCAATCGGAAGAAAGGAAGATATCTTTAAGGGACAATGAGAATTCAAAGTAAAACAACCAAAATGCCTAAAGCGCGGGAAAACGTGGGGACCAAGTAAAACGCGGGAAAACGTACACGACCAAGTCGTGATTGGTTTTGGTCTTGCATCTGACCGGTTGAGAGAGAGTGGTACGAGTTTCTGAACCAATCACAGAGCAAAGAAAAGCAACCCAATACAATCACAGATTACTTTCGACATTTAATTGAAAATTGCTCTATGTGGTTAAGTAATTAGATGTTTCATTCCTGGCCGTAAGGGTCTGGATGAGAAACTCTTCCTGAGCTGTTCTTGTACTCGTATGACCAACCTTTAAAACTGGCCTAGGTTCGCATTTACACTCTTTTTAATGACAGACTCTTGTTTCAAATACTGAAGCTGAATTGTTGTTCAATCATCTCTCCTAGAAACCTTAGGGCCTTTTACTGCATTCAGAGAAAATAGGCAAGATAAAGAGGTTAGCTTCCCATTCGGGCCCTGTGAACGAACAAGCGTCTGTTTCCTGAGACGCACAAAATGCGGGGAGGGGGAAAGAAAGACACACCTTAGTCGACACCCTGATTTTTTCCCGCTTTTCGTTCATTTCTTCTCACCAGCACATGGCTGAGATAGTCAAATGATCTCGTATACCACATCAAACACTGGTCTAAGATCACATGAAAACCAGTGAAATTACCAGCCACGTCCAGGGAAATAAACCAGGAAAATGTACGCGTAAATAATTTTTAAAAAATTACCTCCACTTCCTCCCTACACTGAGCAATCGGTTTAACCATGGTGGCAAGTTCATTCTGAAATAAAAATAAGAAAACATTTACACACGGAATATCTATTCACGTTTCATTGAAGGAAAATTAGTCATACACTAGTGACATGTACAAATATACATGTTTAACTTTTTCTGCCAAGATCCACAGATCATTTCTCTGCTCTGTGTCTGTCATACACTTTTATAATTCTGGCTCTGAGAATTTATTGTTAAATCAAACGATTAGTCCCCTTTCTGATATCCTTTCTTCTTCGCTCCACCTTATTCCTTTTTTAGGAGAAATTCCTTTATGGCCAAATCTGGGAGTTTTAAAACTAATCTTCCATAGCCTCTATATACCCCTTTTGGATCGTTCGATGCCTCCCTCATTTCCCCTGACCTGACAGAGAAAAGGAAGACAGAGACGCCGTGAAAAGAGATGTGGAAGAAGATTATTTGAAGTATCATTAATTTCCTATAACGCAGCTTGCAGAAAATTTTGAAAAATTTGTCGATGCTTTTTCTCAAGTATCTTGCGTGGCATATTGCATGACATTATGACCGCAGTTGAACTGCAAATTATCATATCACCGACCCACTCTTTCAAATGCCTCGCAAGTCTGTGCACTGTTTTTCTTTTTTAATTCATTATAAATGCTCAACTTTCAGTTCATTTTAATAGGATGCCCTTACTTTAGACGGTAGTTTTGTCTGTGAAGCTTTCACCAAAAATTCCCTCAGTGCTTGAAATGTGTTTTTGGCTAGATCAACCTGAAAATTAAATTAACATGTGTTCTGAACTTTTCTGAGTCACGCAACCATATTCCATATTCTAAAAAATTAATTATCCGTTCTTACCTGAGCTCTCAAATCGCCTCCTATTTCATTTGATAATTTGAAAAAGGCCTGTATCTTTCCCTTGAAAAACTACACGAGAGATAATAAAATGAAATAAATATCGTTGATTATAGAAATTGATTATAGAAGCTTGTAATTGTAAACAGACGATGAAGGAAAATAATATCAAATTCGCTTTTACCTCGTCGTAGAATTGAACAATCTTTCCAGATCCTACCGAACAGAGGAATAATTTTAGAGTAAACTCGTTTGTTTTTGCTTTTCATAAAATGAATAGAAGCTATTTCCCTTATTTACCTTCACCGATCTTTCCAGATTTTAGCTGTTCGAGTTTTCCTGCCGCTTTTTCGAGTCGCTCCACCAAAGCTTGTATGTCCGCTTGAGAACCACCTTTTTGAATCGAACTCTCCGCTTGGCCAAGTTTATCGGCCACCAATTCCAGTCGCACTAACACGGCTTCTAGCTTGTTAAGAGTCGCTTGATTTGCTGGCATTTTGAGCTGAAGTGAAGAATAGATGTCAGAAACAGGAACAGTCACGGTGCGGGAATTTCTTTGGCTGACCCGAACCAATAGGCGCGGTCGAAGCCTACGTTAAGACTCTTTTTAACTTTGCCAAAATAACTTACTTGGATTTCACATTTGGACACAAACTTTCGCCTCACTTCGCCTGCGCGGACCACGTCCATGATCAGTGGGACTAGGACAACACCTGCGTCGATGAATTATTAAGCTTTTTTTTTACGTAAAAACCAGCTGTCCAATTCTCATGGATGAAAAGAAAAAGGCGCTGCCTTGATTCACGGGCTGTCTTCGTTTCGTCTTCTTTGTCCAGAGTTGCGTTGCAGCATTGGCTTCTTCTAACTTCTCAGAACAAACAGAGATTTGGTGTTTTAAGAAGCCCCAAATGCAAATAATGAAAGAACAAAAAATAATTTAATTTGAAATTTGACTCCATTCAATAAACAAAACGAAGTTATCATTGTCAAGCTCAATTTTTTACTGCTCTCTAAACATTTTTAACCAGAATTTTCTATATTTATATTTGCCATAATTCAATTGGGTTAAAAAAAGAACTTTCTTCGCCTCTTCAAGAAGAGAATCCATGAATCTTTTTTAGGACTGGGACTAGTGGTACCAAGTGAGTAAACCTTAATTTCCGCGGAGGTTTGCTGATACCGGTTTTGTCTCTGCGAAAGGACTTATGGGAGAATCGTGACGTGGTGCTTCCTCTTTGTCCTAAAAGACGAGTCATCAACATGGTGAGAGAATTGTAGAATTTTAACCGAGAATAATTCTGAAGTTATGGTGTTGAAATCTATGATAATCTCAATAATGGTATCCTATCATCAATAGGTTCAAGCAGCCTCTTCCACAACTGTCGGATCTGGCAGATCCGGCTCAAAATCTGTCACCCCTCGTTCGTCTGGCGGAACACAAGTAAAGCAAAGGTAACAACATATAGTAAACTGCTTTCTTCTTTCAAAACCACGTATCGAATTATTCTATAGCTTTACTTAGAAGCAGTTAATCTATATTGGTTGCTTTTTCAGGCCGACTTTGTTGTTTTGTTCTTATTTCGATTTGCGTGAGTTTACAATGAGTTCTTGTTAGGATTTTGTATCGGTACAAACCGTTGGATTTTTTAGATAGTGTCTTGCCTTTTACACATTCTGTGATTCTTACACGATACTGTTTTGTGCTTTACTTTACACTAGAAAGTGATACAAATTAATAGGATATGTGATTTGTGTTAAAGCTTCACTAGTTATTACACGTTAGCTGATAACGCAGAAATATACAATTGCAATACTGTGTGAGGAACTCACTCTCAGAGAGAAATTTACTCTCCGATCTTGGTGACAACATGTTAAACAGAGGTTGCTGCCCAAAAAATGCATTTCGTTAATCAAAGAGTGACCCTTTTGAGAAAATCATGACAGAAACTTTAAATCTGTGTGTCATGTTTGTTGACCCTCAACCTCTTAACATCTGTATGCATTTTCTCCACACTCCACACTTTCTCCACACTAGATATTACCTAAGGTTCTAACAAGGAGAATTTGCTATATAATCAAGAACTTTACCTTGTGATCATTTCCTTCATTCTTATGGTCTAAACTGTTGATTCAGGGGTAATACTGTTGGCAGAAATTAGATCCTTGTCGCTCTTAGGGGTTAAAGCCATGGTATGAAATATTTCACGTTCATTGCAAAATTTTCTTTGAAAAAAAGCAGGATCACTAATAATCTACAATCAATTGCTCTTAACAAAACCAGATTTATCATCAAGGTTATGTAGTTTCAACGGGTTATTTCATTTATTTCAACTCTTATCTTGTTGAATTTACAGGAAAGGTGGAAGTACTGCCCCAGCAGCAAGAGCTCGATCAGCAGCCAGCAGTAGTGGAATGTGGAGATTTTACACTGAGGATTCTCCAGGACTCAAAGTGTAAGTAGTCTTTGGTTACAGTTACATTTTACATGCTCAGTTTTATTTGCTAAACAAGAAACACTTCGTGCAAATTTTTGCATTGCAAGCAGTCCAGACGTATGTGATATTGATTACTTCTAAAGGACTTTTTGCAAAATTTTTGTTAAAGTGCCCATGTCACAAAATTTTTTATTCTGTCATTCAAAAGTCCACATTAAAAAGGGAACTTCCGTGAAAAAATTAAAGATTTGAACAAAATGCAAATTTTTTGATTTTTTAAAACCGCTGAAAACCGCTGAAATTATTGACGGCCATTTTGGCACACCACTTCTCGTGGTCACAAAGGAATTGTGACATAGGTTAAGGAACACCTGACATCAGTTGCTAATAAACTTGAGAGAGATTTGACCAAGCACTCTCCATGGAGGACATTATTTGGTCAGTTTGTATACGATGATAGCCACTTTCATTGGTAGCCTCATTCGTTTGTAGTAAACACGGGAGCCATGACAACAAGCGTTCCTGAATCTATGTCATTTATGAGCCCATACTTTCTCGATCAGCGGAAGGGGTGTACCAAACAAAAATAGGATTAAAAAAATCATAAAAAATTCGCGTTTTGTTCAAATCAAAAAATTTTTTCGCAGAAGTTCCTTTTTTAATGTGGACTTTTGAATGACAATAAAAAATTTTGTGACATGGGCACTTTAAGCCAAAACCAAAGTAATCACAAGGGCTATTTAGAATGAAGGGACTAATGAGGGACTAATGAGAGCTTAAGGTAAAAAAGGCTCTGAAAGTGCTGGAATATGCTAGTGACTAAGTCATGAATGGGTTAAGTAGCAAGGCATTTTCAGTTTTGCGGATTTGGCTACTTTCTAGATCGGTTTTTGGGTTTATGTGCCAAAAACTTGGGTTTTTCAGTTTTGGTGTTTGATGCAGTTTGCTGATTTTCAGTTTTTTGGCGTTCTGTTTTCTTTTTCATCTAAAAGACTAATAGGTTTTTGGATTTGGTATCCAATTTGGTCATCAGTTTTTCCATTGCTATCTTTTAATATCTTCCTCTTTTAACATGGCTTTTTTTTTTCACAACAGTGGCCCTGTTCCTGTGTTGGTCATGAGTTTGTTATTCATTGCTTCAGTCTTCATGCTTCACATCTGGGGAAAATACACGCGAGGATAGCTGCTGACTACAAATGCAATTGTGTTTACATTTAAAATGTCAGTTAGACATCAGAAGATCTTCAATTGATACTGTCTCAAAGCAGTGCAGACTTCTTATCTTTTACATATTATATTATAAATCAAGTATCCATAAGAACCTCAATAAAGAATAAAACTCTTTCAGTTTCTTAGCTTGCATTTTATCAGCATACAGGATCTGTTTGAAAACTCAAGGGCGGGGCTGTTCAAAGCTGGGTTAAGATAACTAGGTTTAGAGTAAAATTTTATTTCAGATCTGAAAGTTTGAAGAGGAAATTCAGTTTATTTCTTTTTGTCTACAATTAATTGATTGAATGCTCTTTAAATATTAGGGTAAATTATCCCAAGGCAGCTTTTGAACAGAGAAATATAGAAACCTGGATGGAAATTTTAACCCTGGGTTAGCGCTAATCGGCCTTCTAACTGGGCTAATATAAGGATTTCAATTTAGGTTGAATACTAGAACAGGGTTTGTACCCTTTTCCAGAAACTGACCCCTGATCTCTGTTTCCAATCTGTGGAGAGTCATATTTATTCAACCTTGTACCCAGTGTCCCTCTGCCCAGTGTTGTTCACTGTGGGAATTGTGGAAAGGAGGGAGAGAAAAGAGAACTTGGAACGAGGTTGACTTATTATTGAACTTCTTCTGCTTGGAAATGGAGATACAGCTGAGAAATTGTGATCTGATTCAGTATTTTTCGAAAGGTGACTCTAAAATGTGCACAGAACCATTGTGAGGGCCACTTTAAGGAATGGTTGTGGCTGAAGATAAAAGATAATTTTATCACATGAAATTTTGGAATGAGCGACAACTAAAAGACAACCAATCGATAGCAGATAACTCTTAATTGCACACTGACTAGATAGAGAGGAAGAATGTGGAATGTAACAAAGAAGGGCAAAAAAATGTTTCAGAGCAAAATGATAAAACCAAGATGCTATAGAGTAGGCTCAGCAGTTAGCGGTATTGGATGCTAGTAACCTTTCCACTCGCAGAAGTGATTTAAATGTAACTTCTCCCTTTAAAATAATATCCATACATGATCCAGCAAACAGGTAACAAGAGTACTAATTTATCAGGTAGTTGTTCTCTTGATTGAACATCAAATTCTTGAAACCAATTTACAAGGAAATGTGCAGCTACTAGAGGGGAGAATTAATAATCAGATCTTGGGAATTAAAAAGGTTAAATCTTTAAACCTAAGAGTCTGGTTTCTAATTCCTCCTTACATTATCAACCTCAATTCAAATGTAGAAGAGGTCATAAGAATAAAGGAAATGATCACTAAAATTGATTCTCCAATACCAATCTCATAGGAAATAGAAAGAGAAAAGAGGAGAGTATAGGTTTAAGGGCTTGAAAATCAAACAGCAGGGCAGTTTGGGCTTTGAAATACTCCCTTTTTTGCTGTTTAGTCTCCTCACAGCTGTTCCTTGGGAAGGATGACTTGTGAAGAAGACTTCTTAATTCTTAACAGTGCACACACACTTAAAGAAAAAATATGAAGCAGGCTACTAAAGGAGATGACCGAGGGAATTCAACCACGGTTTGAAGTGCTGTTTATTGGCAATATTTTATAGCATATTGACACATAACCCATCAGTCTAATCATAATGTATACCATTCTACAGGAACTATACACTACTAAGCTAGTACCTAAAAGTTACGACCTACTAGTATGTCTACATTTTTTTTTTTAGCCTTGATTTCATAGCTTGGCTTTACCAGCATTTTACAGCCAATTTAAAAATATACTGACAGGTGATAGAAATTCACTTTGCTCAAACCCAAGCTCTTAAAAGAGTTTCAAAATCACTGTTTAGAGGGTGATACTGTTTACAGTTTTAATTTTTGCCAGATTCAATTGCATTAAAGCCTGTGAATTTTGCTTTCCCCCTGCCTCAGATGCCTTCCCAAGATGTGTAATTAACAAGGCAAGCACTTTCTGTAAAGATTTAAAGAAAAAAGAAAACAAAAATAAAAACAGGGCAACCTTAATTTTAAGAGCTTGGTTTTGGCAAAGCAATGACTTCCAATGAAACAAAAATCACCACATCCATCACTCGTCAAGATAAGTTAATCTACTTTAAGATCATATGCACATTTATTTCAGTTTTAGCTACAATCACTTTGGTACAATCACTTCACCTGGAAGGTGATTACATAAAAAAACAAAAGAAGTCCAGTAATCCTATTGACAATTTTCTGAGAGTATTTACAAGGAAATCACGTCAACACTGAATAAATTTGTCTGTTCACAGTTTGTAAGGGCATGGCAAGCAAAAAGGGTGTACCTTTGTATGTACACAAAAGGTGTAAAGTTCAAAATATTGAAAAATGAATAGAAACATTTAGCAAAAAGTCATCTTCCCCCTTCCAAACTAAGGGAGAAAATATCAAATCTATAAACATCCATAAATATGTAACATAGAAAAGTAAATAGTGAATAAAATGTGGTCTGAATAGATATTTTTTGGTTGCAAAGTGGTGTCTCAATTCATTTCTTGTTTTACTCAAGTACCTACCCACTACTTATGTATCAACCCCTTTTAACTCCCTAGATCTGTTTGTTAATTCTCCTCTTTAACTGCTTCCCATTTCCTTTCCAAGAATTTGGTGTTAGATCAAGGTAACAACTTCTATTCAATAAGTTTGTGTATTCTCATTTCCCGTTTGCTGGATAACGTATGGATTTTGTAAGGAGATGTTGCATGTTAATCACCTCTGGGAGTTAAAGAAAAATGTATAAACTGGATGAGATTCCTTGAGTAAAAAAAAAAAACACAAGGAAAATAAGTACGCAAATGGAAGAATGACAAGGATAAAATGTAAAGGTACACCCTTCTTTTAAGAAGAAACCTCAGGTTTAGTTCATAACCCCAAAAATTTCCAGTCACCACTTTATTGCCCCAATTTATGAGGGATTCAAAAGGAAAGATGTGAAAAGTTTATCAAATTTTTCTGCATTAGGTCCAAGCCATTAACAAGATATTACATTCACGGTAAACCATGTGGACATCAGCATAGCTAGAAAGTGACACAAATACTTCTCTCTAATACAATCGAATTTATAAACTTGTCTTTTTTCATACTTCTGAACTCCACCATAAACATTGCTGCCTAACAGAATTTAACAGATATCACCATGGAAGTCCAACTAAGCAGAACAATGTGATCATATGTATTACAATGAATATATTCTACACATATTTGAGAACAGCTGACAAACCTCATCAAACTGAAAGTAATTGTTAAAACCAAAATTCCTTAATAAGTAAGACAGTGCTATAGCCCACAACCCAGAGCAGATCTCCCTCCAAGAATTAATACCTGGCTCTGTTTTTAAATACTAGATGACGTGCAGTTGAGTAGTCGTTTGATAGAAATCTGCAACATGATGCAAGGTATTCTCAGCAAAACCTTAGCCACTACAAACTGTGAATTACCCAGGATCACTTCTTGGTGTACATGTCCATCTACCCTATCCCCTAGGGGAGAGCCTAGAGGATTTTTGTAATACTAGCTTTAGGTACAGGTTTCTCATCCCCAGCCCAACGTTGTTTGGCCTTGGGAATTTGCTGGTAATGGATTTCCTTGAAATCCAAAGCCTGCATGATAGTCCTCTTGATGATAAGGTGGTGATAAAATGTCTACTTGGGGATCCCATCCATGATGTTGTAAGTGACCTGTACCTCCCATGTTCTGCTGTGTTGCAGTCCTCGTATATCCTAGGCCTCCATCATACTCAAGAGATGGAAGAGTGTCCTCGAATAAAGGAGGAACATTCAAGTCCCATTTTCCACCTTGCATGTTTGTCGCATAAACTGCATTTTCTGAGCCCATGACTGTTGCAGTTCTTTGCCCAGAAAAATTTTGCATCCCACTTTGTTGAATTGTATGCTGTTGGGTTTTCCAATCTGGATACTGCTGTTGTTGGATGTTCCTTGGAGCTTGTGGGACTTGATTTGGGTGCACCCAGTTTCCTTGAAGACCGTGTTGCATGCCTCTGGGACTCACCATGGGGTTTGGAGGCTGTTGTCCTGTTATGCAGCTGGGACCATACATTTCATGTCTTTCTTTCTTCTTAATTGTTGTGGAAATCAGAGCGGACTTTGACTGCATTTGAGGAGGAGGGGCTTGTGGAGCCTTAGACACTTTCATCTGACCCATTCCTCCCCAGGAGATATTGACCCGTGCTGGTGCAGTATTACAGTGCCCAACAGGGGAGGGATCAGGAGTTGGTAAGCCACCAGGCGACAAGTGAGGAGAGGGGTGACTAGCCGGCGATGGATATGGTGATGGAGCCATTTGAGCCTTAGGAGAGAAATGCTCCAGATTTTTTGGGGGGGATTGAGATAGAGGCGGTTGGCTTCCATCAGGACTCGTCAAACTATTGTTGTCATTATTACATGCAATAGTAAGACAATCTGTTGCGAGTAACAGTGCTTCCTCATAGGTTGGCGGATCCATCCCTTGGAGGAGGTCACCTCCATTACCAGCATTGTCGAGTGGCTCAAGATGAAGGTCATCTAGGGTTAAATCTGTCAAAAGACAAAGGCAATTTAGTTGGTTACCAGTATTTCCAAGTGGTTCAAGATGAAGATCATATAAGAACAACTAGGTGTAAAGACAGTCAGTTTTTTTTTCCATTTCATGTTCTTGAGCAAAGTTGGTTCTGTCATTAGAAATTTCTGCATACATAATGTGACCCATCAATTTGGCCCCAACCATATCACTCTCCCAATATTGTGCAAGTATATCCATTCTACCCAGTTCCAACCAAACTATAGACCCCTGTTATTGATTTTGCCTGAATTCCTCCAATATCAGTCTGTTTCTCTTTCAGTCTATCTGTTTATCTGGATGTCCCAAAACACAAAAACACTATTTTGCACCACACAAAATTACAAAAGGTAAAGCTAAGTTCATACTCTAACCAATTGGCCCATCCAGCTGGAACTAATGCTAGTTTCCTTAACATGAAGTGACTGGGAGTGTCATATCCCCTAGGGGGGGATGCTGGTCCATCCCCAGGTTACCCCCCAGAATTTTATCAATACTCCTCAGTAAAGAGGCACTGAGAGAGTAAAGTGTTTTGCCCAAGAACCCAACATATTGACCTGACCAGCCCTTGAACTCTAACCTCTCACCCCACCCCTCACACAAAATTGCAATTAACTGAAGTTATCTGTGCTGACATTGACACAAAAAAACAACAAAGCAGCATTCCAATGGCATAATAATAACACTAATCCAAAAATGAAACTGAAAAAGTTGTAGTGGGAGCCAATTTGGTTCTAACAAGCTAAGCTTTGTGTCTGATCAAGTAAACACTGATAATATAAACGTACACGCTGTTTCCATATTGAATGCCTCATGTATGCCTTCATTGCAACAAATTATTTGCCATTTAACCTTACAGTCATTGAAAAACTGCTTTAATTTTACTTATTGCTTTGCAATTAAAAGTTAAGCATTATGCTCTTAGAAAACACTATTTATACTAACTAGGATTAGAAGTTAAATTAATTAGCATTAAAAGAGGTTAAGGGAACTTTATCTTATGCTTTTAGGTTTGCAACAAACAAAAGATGCAGCACAGAAAAGCAAGCAGCGTAAAGATAAGGAAGAAAGTTGCAGAGTGAGAGAGAGAGAGAGAGTAAAAAAGAGTGTGTGTGCAACACAAGGTGATCTTACCTTGTGGGTCAAGAAGCATGAAGTCACTGAGTTCAGGCGCATCTTTTTCAAGTTCCGCTTGTATGTCTACACACAGGTCGAAGAGCTCAGGCTCCTCGGGAGTCATAGGTGTAGAAGTACAAGAGGTAGCGGAACTCAAAAGAGCGTCAGCAAGAAATGGGGACGACGGATGCTGCTGCAGCAGCGGTGAATTCGAGTCAGCTTCTTGAAGCGTGGGATTAGGAGCCGAGCCTAATGACAAAAAAGCCAGTAACTAAGATGGGTGGCAAAAAATTGTCAAGCAATTACTACAGCCAGATTTGTATATCATGCTTCGCATCTTGCAAAAACTTAGAGCGATTCTGCTTTATTTTTCTTTTTTATTTGTTTTCTTTTTCTTTTTCTGTTCTCGTATTCCTCTGAGCAAAAGTAGGGCTTTGCAATCACGCACATTTTGATCAGCCTTCTACAGGTAAAGAAATTTAGAGAGTGCCTAGACAACCAGAAAGACATCCTCACTGCAATTCTCTTAAATACACCACATCAATCTCTGTGGTACTTTTCCATTTTCATATGAAAAGCTAAGAAAGTGAAGCAGAGCAGCTACTTTGGCTCGCAATCTGAGAACTACTTCTCCCACACAAATGATTGTTGGAACAGAAGACCAAAAAATCTTTTTGTAAAAGCTTGCAAAATGCAGAGCATAATTAAAGGAATTTGGCTGTAATCATACACTGTAAGTTTAAATAATACATAAAGATGTTCATTTTCAATCAGATGAAATGTGTCTTAAGTAATGCTTAGAGGTGGCAAGGGCTAAAATGCATCTCATGAATCCATTGAATTAGTACACTTTTCACAAGAGCCAAATTTTGATTGCATGTATGAGAATTGCAGAGAAGCCTAAAGAGCAAACTACATTTTCTGGGATGTCCATTATGTTGATTTTATCCAAAGGAAAGCTTTTTTAAGTGTTTGTTTTTAAAAATGAACAATGTTCCAAAAAAAGAAAAATTTTCATCGGCAAATGCAGGTTTCACTGACCAATGTCACAAAGTGGGGGTGGGTCGTGGGGGGGGGACACAAAATAAACAAGCAGCAACTTTCATCCCCATTTTGCTGTTCAGCAACAGCGAGACTGGCGGCAATACGTATGGATGATACAGCAGCAAAAAGCAATAACTTTACATTGCAGGCAGTTGGCTGTGGAGAAGAAACCCACATTTATGCATAACGTCATGGATTTAAGGGGGAAAATGCCATTATCAACTGAAAAAAGTATTTCTGTTTTTTTTTTTCCTTGGAATCCATAGGCATGATATGCATTTAATATTTTCTGTTTTAAAAACTAGCTGTTTTGAAACAGTTTTTTAACTAATAAACTTTTTCATGGATTCGGTATGTTTTATTTCAAAAATTTTATCCAAACAGTGATGTTTGAAAACTTAAAAGTTTTAAGACATACCTTACCTTAAAGAAATGAATTATTGTAACTTCTAAATCTTACAGAATCTCTAGTTGAATTTACAAAAGTGCACCCAAAAAACTAAGGTTGTTTCATATTTTAAGCCCTATTTTTCATGAATAACAGTGACATGACTTTATTCTGATAGCTTGCTGGTGACTGCCACTTAAAAGTCCAGTTGCCAAAAGTCAATTTCAAGATATTTTGGAACCCAGCTGGTCACCATTTCAGACCCTGGTCTATGTTTAAGAAATGAATAAAGGCTGATAGTTTTGAAAGAAACTGTTTGGGGCTGTGTTGGTGGGAGTAACGAAATAATTTGGATCTATCAACAAAGTTGAAATGGTAAATTGGCCACTGTAATGATTGAATTACGGTGGCCAATTTCAACTTTGTTGATAGATCCAAATTATATGTTTAAGAAATGTTTGGCTGTATGTATCTTAGATATCTTCACAGGAGGTCTCCCCTTTAAATGCCAAAAGTGCAGAGTTATTGAGCAAAAAAAAAAAAAAAAATTAGAAAAAAAGGAAAAAGAAAAATGGAATTTACCATCTTAACCATTTCACTCCCAAGATTTTCATCAGCACTTCCTCTGACTGTCTACTATATAATTCTTATGATTCTAAATTGGAGCACTTGGTATGGGATCTACTGATCATCCCCTCATTATAACATAACCAAAGTAAAGCGCACGCTCTGATTGGTCAATTTAGCATCCCCCATTTGCCCATGGGTGTATGCTGCTGACGTGAGCAAATGCAAAGACTATTTTTCCGCGCGCACTTGTTTTTTCTGGTCGCGTAAGATTTGTTAAATAAAAGGGAACTCTTTAGCTACAATGTATCAATGTTATGTTATAAAACAAATGGTAAACACCACAGCGTACACTATTGAGTTACTCTAGAGCTAAGAGTTACTCTCTAAGCTAAGAGTTACTCTAGAGCTAAGAGTTACTCTAGAGCTAAGAGTTACTCTCTAAGCTAGAGTCGCTCTCGGCTATCGCCTCGAGCGACTCTTACGCTTTTTTCGTGCTTAGCAACCTCCCGCGTGCATCCATAACTCAATAGTGTACACTGTGGTGTTTACCATTTGTTAATTAATAACTTTCTTCATTCTAGTCACTGGTCTACTTGATATTGTGTCAATATCATGAAGAGAAATTGTTTTGGTCACTTATGGCAGTCAAAGGGTTAACAAGAACTAAATTAGTACTAATCTCTGCTTATCATACACCAATATCTTGAGAGATTTTCAACAAAAAAAGTATGAATTCCCTTACCACTAGCAGGAGATTTAACAAATCCGTCAGGAACATTTCCCTTTCGTTTCAATCTACCATTGCTAGAATACTTATGTGACGCAGGCATAGTTGGGTATTTGAAATCTGCAGTTGCCGAGAAGTCTCCCCATGGAACTCCTAGGGGACTGCCACCATTGCTGTAGCTACTGATACTACCCGGGCTTCTTGGACTACGAGGACTTGGTGAGCCACTATCACTTGCTGTAAAGGGTAAGGCAGGAAATTGCCCTCTCTGTCGCAAAATTTCCTCACCTTCCTCCTCACTGGAAAAAATGAGAAAAGTGAATCAGGCAAACCTGTTGTAATAAGTGGTGATGTTTTCCTTTTGGGACTTCTTGCAGACCAAATGAGCTACACATTTGTGACAGAGTCATGAACAGAGATCAGATGCCGCATGGCAAAGTGTTGAGCACACTTCATAGATATTCTTTACTGTCTCCTTAGAAATGGGATGGGAAAATAAATGGGATTTAGAAATGGACATTACACAATGAGGCTATTCTTTTCCACTGTTTGCAGGTCAAATTGGAATATAGTATGTTGGTTTTCATGGCAGGAGGAAAACCAGAAAACCCAGAGAAAAAAAGCCTTTCAGTAAGGACAAGAACTAACAACAAACTCAACCCACATGTGACACCGGGTCAGGGAATTGAACCCAGGCCACAGTGATGGGAAAAAGAGTGCTCTCACCACTATGTTGTGATTTTTCTGCCATGATTTATGACATTTCCTTCGTTATGATTTTTGGAATTACACTGATGTCAATTTCACCACACTAAAGAAAAAACAGCATATCACTGTACCTCAAGGGCCTGTTCGTTGTGATAATGAAATCAGGCTCGGTCCCTTTGAACACAACTTGTGCGGTGCCAGTAAGCCATTGCCACTTTAAGTTTTTATTCAGCATACGGAAGGTTCCCTGACATTTTCCAGTGCTCATCACTACAAGGAACAGTTACCAACCAATACTTTAAAGACATGAAAAGTACTCCTCTTTGATGTGGATGTGTTCTTTTTGTAGGCTTGTTTACAGAGTTTGGTATTGTAGCAAATGATGCTAGTGAATACTTCTTCACTTTCATTACCTATCTCACTCCTACAAGTCTTAAATATGAATTCTCGACACTATGTGCGATAGATTTCTTATAATTTTAGCTCTGAGAATGTGGTGTTAGATCATAACCTGAATTATATCTCCTTATTATATTTTATTTGAAAGTATGTTGATAATGTACAGAAAAAAAATTTTTTGGTCACTCCTAGAAAAATGTATCCATGGGGTGATGACTCCCAAAATCAAATGATCGATGGCTAACCTTAATGTTACCTTTGAAAAAAGTTGTATAGAAGTATAGAAACCCTATTGGAGCACTTACAATCACCATGAAGTGTCTTCAGTACTGGAATATCATCAAAATGGATCATACAATAACTTGATTGTAGGGCGATGTCTCTCTTATGATAACCAAGAAGTGATCGACCCCTGTCACCAAAACAACATTTCACATAACTTTAATTTCACTTTACACCCTAACACCAGCATGCATATTCTTTTTACTGTTCTGTAAATGTTTCCTAAGGTGCAGACAAAGAATTCGTGTAACAATCAAGAGCTATTGTAGTAGATAATCATTTCTGCAATTCTCCTGATCTTAATATGTGATTCTGGGGTGATATATAGCAACGACAAATTAGATGCTAGTAACTCTTGAAGATAAAATGGTCAACAAACTCTTTTCCAGGAAGTTGTCAAATCAAACATGTCTAAAAGCTGTCTCCTGCATCTACTAATTAGTTAATTTGGTTAGGCAGGGGACGTTAAAGAACCCACTCACGAGATTACTGTGATGTGGTCTGGCCTGTTTACTGGGAATTGGGGGAGAGGGCATCTTCAAATAAGTTTCCTTCGATTGTTTGTAAACTGCTGATGCAGTCTGGCCAAAGTCCCCTGTACAGTGTTGTGATGCGCATTTGATCATATCCACATGTTAATTTGTGCAATATAAATATTAAATTATTATTATTATTATTAAAAGCTGGAAAAGCACCAAACGATCAAGAACAGATATACAGTTTGCTAGTCAAAGGAACTCTACTAGAAATGTTGGTTGTGGCTGATACCTGCCTTAATGACAAAATGTATAAATAAGAGAAAAAAGCAACAGAGTATTATCAATTTCTTTAAAGCTAAGGATATTAACTGACAAAGTATTGCCTACTTTTGGTCTATATCCATGAAGCTCAAGTCCATTCTGTTCTTGGTGCAGAACAGCGATGTCTTTAGTCTGATCTCAAGCACTGATGACGACACAGTTTCTAGAGGAGTGCAGATCATGAACAGGCCATAGTCTCTTCTTTCACAGTCAGGAAGCGTCATTTCACGTAAACGGCCGCTACATCTGAATGGCTGAACGTTAAATAACAATTTTGAGGACACATCTTTCAAAAATATAAATGCTCATTGGGGCACAGCTATGGGGAGATGAAAGTCTTTTGGTATAACCCCCAAGATGTCATTAGCAATTCGTCTTGCTGTCTACCCTATAATTCTTAGGAGTTTACTTCTAAGAATTTGACATTGAATCACCTAATAATCCCTTGACTGCAGAAGGGTTTAGGGTGAACCTAATGACTGACTAGTATCCAATTCAGGGTCGATCCATAGACTCCCATCTATGCTTCAGAATTGAGGAAAAGCTTTTGTATGATGGGCTTTCTTGTTCAAACAATGAACACTTGTCTAGAAATTTTTATGACCTAACATTTTGATGACTATTGTCAGACTTCAAAATAATACTTTGATCAAAGGACAATTACCTTGAAAAAACCAGCACTAGTGTTCAGAATGCATTTCATTCTGCACACAAAAGATCTTTCTGTCTCCACATCCTTTCCTTGCTCATCTGCTGACAAAAAAAATAAGAATTTGTACATTGGACCATAACCAAAATAAACATCATTTCCATGGGTTTTGTTGACCCTTCACACCCTGTCATCAGCATGTATATTCTCCATACTGTTCCCTAGACATTTCCTTGGGTGCTGACAAGGAGAATTTATTTAACAATCAAGAGCTTGTTTAGTTGGTGATGACCTTAATGTGTGATTCAGTGGTGATATTGTTAAGAGAAGCTAGATGCTAGTCACTCTTAGGGTTTAACCCTTTAACTGCCAAGATCTAATTGTTAATTCTCCACTCTAGCTGATACATATTTCCTAGTAAATTGGTTACAAGAATCTGGTGTTCATTCAAGGTAACAACTTCCACCTGATAAGTTTGAGTATTCTCACTACCTGGTTGCTGGATAATGTATGGATATTTAAGGGAGAAGTTGCATTTTAATCATTTCAGGGAGTTGGAGGGTTAAAGGGTTAAGAGCCAGCAGCTGGCAAAATTGGCCAATTTTATCATGCAAAATCGCCGCCTAATTCCGCTGAAATTAATACCATTATGTAGAGTTAAAATTGAATTTCCATTCATGTCAGCCGCCTACATTGCAATTTTTGCCATTTACTTTGAACACTTTGAAACCCCTGTGTATTGTAGAGAAATATGACTCTAGTTAAGAATTCTAATTTGTTGAAGATGACAACCCAGCTTACCTTGTTATTTTCATTAAAATTAAAATAAAGAATGACAATAGGGCACTTAAAAAACCCATTGTAAAATATTACTGGAGAAAATAAAGAACTAGCATCATACCTGAGCTACATGTGCTGCCAGTCTCTGAAGCAATCCCATCATTTTCTTCATCAAGAATTCTTATTTTCTGTGTTAAAAAAAAAAAACAATTGTACCAATCACCAAAATGTCCTCAAGCTTAGCTGACTGAATTCAGTGAAGCACAAAAACAAAATGCAGTGCCACACAATATCAGTATCATAACTATTTTTAACCACAGATACGTCACACAATTGGGGTCCTTTGCCCTACACAATATAAGTTTTTGTTTGAAAGGAAACCCTATTGCAATATATGACCAATAAATCATGCTTAAAGGAAAAAAGGAAACTCTGAAAGGATTTCTAGAGAAATTTATAGAGAGATAGGCAAAACCTCAAGAGAAAACTTAATTTTGAAGTTTAATTGTAACAAATGATTTCTTGTCAAACTTCTAGAGAAAAGCAAAAACTCAAGAGAAAAGCTAAGTTCAAAGTTTAATTGTCATGAATGAAGTAAAATATAATCCATAATATAAACTTTCAATTGCTTCCTGTTTTTTTCACCACAAACAAAACCCGCTGTTGAAACTTAGGACAGCTGTTCTAGACAACAAACAATGGCAAAGTCACTATTAAGAGAAAAACCACATTTCACTTTTCCCACAATTAATAACTTGCATTTTGTCCAAGAGGAAGTAGAAAAAATTGTCTTTTGAGTTAAGTACTGGTTCCAAAACTTGATATTGTTCCGACACTGAAGAATTCAATCAAAACAAGGGTAATATAACAGTGTTTTTTTTCTTTTCATTATAATTTTGTCCTGTCATGAGCATTGGACAGAGAAAAAAAAAAAAGTTCTGATTGAGTTCCTACAAGGAATCACACCTCAGATGTTTAGATTTCATGCTCTGATACTCTACCACTGAGACTCGACAGTGAGACTGACCATTACAAGGTCTGACTCATATTTTCTAAGTAGTAATAATAAAAATTTGAAAGAAACTGTAAGACAGTTAGAAAAAAGATGGAAAATTCAACACAACATACCTGTTCTTCTTCATCTTCGGGGAAAGGCAGAAGATTTTTTCTAATGAGATCATGGTCATCCACATGGATAAATCTTAAAAAGTCCTGGTGTATAACACTTGCCTGAAAAATAAATAAAGAAAGAAATGAATAAGAAATAGGTTACATGTAGCCTTTCTCAGAGTAATACATAGCAAGTGGAATTGGGGCTTCAGCATTGCAAGAAGCTAAAAAAGAGTTCTAAGATATCTGATAAAAAGAACTGGTTTCCTATCCCTTTTAACTCAGAAATGACCTTATTTTCTGAGTTTTGGTAAGACTTAAGATGTCATTCCTTGATTCACTCCTCCCCCCATATCCTGATTCCCTTGACCAGTGCATGAAGGTTTTACAGATGCTTGCATTCCAAATGCTCTATACTGATAGAAATTGAAGATAGGAGGCAATAAATCCGACAATTCTTCATTAATATCAGAACAGCTCAGGATTACTTTTGTCTGCAAACGTGTTACTGAACCATCTAGCAGCCAATGTTTACATAAGAATAAAGGCTGATAGTTTCTAAAGAAACTGTTTGGGGCTGCGTCGGTGGGGGTAACGAAATAATTTGAATATATCAACAAACTTGAAATGGTAAATTGGCCAACGTTACGATTATAAAAGCAGATGTTTCGAGCGTTAGCCCTTCATCGGAGCGAATGACAAAGGGCTAACGCTCGAAACGTCAGCTTTTATAATCGTAACGGTGGCCAATTTACCATATCAACTTTGTTGATATATTCAATGTTCACATAAGATAATTGAATTTTATCAGTCAGCCAATAAACTTTATCTGTTCCCACAGTTCTTGTTTTTCATCAGATCCTACACAATTGATGCAATTCAGTGTTGGGTTTGTCTGAAATTTTTGTTTTGGACTACCGTGCTAGAGAGAACCCAAAACACTCATCACATTAACAAAACTGTGGCAAAATTATTTCCAAGCACTGAACCCAATAGTCCTTTTTACAGTTTTGGGCTTGGCGGCCAAGCCTTTGAACAGGAGTGAGGCTAAGGGTGATCTTGTTATAATAGAGATATTGCTGCTTTTCAAATACAAATTTCTTTGTTATCATGCTAACTAGATACAGGTCTCTATCACAACTGGGTCACCCTTAGCCTCACTCCTGTTCAAAGGCTTGGCCACCAAGCCCACAACTGTCAAAAGGACTATTGATTCAAACAAACCTGGCTATGTTGCCCACCTCAACACTCTTTCACAATACATTTTCTGAGTTAAGTGGGTCACAGCCAGATTGATTTACCCTCCTGTTCCCCGAGGTTCACTCACTATCTTAACAATCCCTGCAATCTGATTACATTGCTGCTTCATATTAACTCTTCAACTCCCAAGATCTGATTGTTAATTCTCCCCTCTAGCTGCTACACATTTCCTTGTAAACAAGTTACCAGAATTTGGTGTTAGATCAAGATAACTTCTACTTGATTATTTGAGTATTCTCACTGCCTGTCTGATGGATAATGTATAGATTTTAAGGGGAGAAGTTAAATGTTAATCAATTAAAAGTCATTGTATGAATAATACAAAATTGGTGTCCAAAACTTGCACTTCCTATGTTAAATATTCCAGAATAAATTCAAATCATTAAGAAGAGGAAATAACAGGAAACTGCACTAGAACTAGCTACCACAAAAAAAAATGAAGAGCCTCTTCAACTAAAAATAAAACTGATGATCAGTGGTAATTTAATTAGATTTTTGGTGTCATGGTTGACCTTTGTTTACCCTTCCACTCCCACGCGTAGCCACCTCCTGATTTCTCCTTTCAACATTACACAGTCCCATAAGGTGATGAGAAAAACAGAAAAAAAAAAATTCAACTCTGCTTGATTAATGCTAAATTCTTAGAGCTTGAATTACATGATCATATTGAAAATTGACATTTATATATGTGAGCGGAGAGTTTCACCTGCAAGTGGACATGCAAGAATCTTGAAACATTAACCAGCTGGTGTAAATATATGTAACCAGCCCCTTTGAATCAACTAAAATTTCAACACTGATCAAAATAGAAGCAAATGGAAAACTTGGGTCTCTTGCAAAGCTAAATAACAATTAAGAAGATTTCACTGATTTGAGGCACTAAATAAAAGCAATTGCTGGATAACATTCGTTGATGAAAGCCATTTTATACAGTTTAACTCAATTTTTTTTCTCCTCAAGATCTTCCAACCATATTACAATGAAATGTGGGGTACATGCAAAAACAACATAAAGACAAAAAATGCAAAAATTCTCATCAATTTGAAATTTGGAACTTTCAGAGTAATGCAAATAAAATTTATCAGGTTGAAAAACAAACAAGCTTGAATGTGTAATTGGAATAATACTTATTTTGGAGTGGCTTTTCCTAGTGTGACATTGATCTGTCTCTGGTAACTTTACCATAACCAGTCATATGATATTTCAGCAGCCACAAAGAACTGCAGCTCAAACAATGTCTTGTTTATTAATTGAAAGAGTGTTCCATTTCTTCAAGTTCAAGGGTGGGCACAATGAAAATTAGTATGAGGAACACTGAACCAGAAATAGTAATACATGTATAAATATACATGTTTCTCATGGAATAACTATGAAGGAAGAACAAGTAATGACATGACTTCGTTAAAAAACATCAATGAATCATTTAGACATCAAAACAGGAAAAAAAAAAACAAAACAATAAGCCAATGTTGTTTTTTTTACAAAATTCTCCAACTTGTTGATATCAATATTTCGGCAGTTTTAAGCTTAGTTTGGAGGGAAAGGGGTCACAAGAAAGAGTTGTTGGTTTATGTCAGCACATTGATGATCAGAAAATGGAATACTTGATGATACAAAATTCAACAAGTTACAATTGCTAAGGAAAGCTTCATAACACTCATAGCTGTTAATATAAACATTATTAACATATTCATAGAATACTAGCAAATTGCCTATCTTGCAACATTACTTTCATTTCTGTCAATCAACACCAACATTATGAACAGTGTACCACATGCAGAGTGGAAGCACATCTGGTAATTCATATGCCTTGGGCGTGTTTAACTAAAGAAAACAGGCTGGGGTCAAAACATACCATTAGGTGTGCTAGCAGATGATAAATTTCAGAAAAGAAAAAAAAAACAGAAAAAAAGAAAAAATCTATTAAGCAAAAGGTTTTACTGAAAAGTAAAAGCCTCATTCGACATCAAAACTCTGCTCTTAGATGAATAATCGGTTGCCTGATAACTCTGAAATCAAAGAAGCCAGACTCATACAAAGCTTTTACTAAAGCAAGACAAGTTAGATGCCAGAAGCCTTGTAATAGAGGACAAATCTCTTGAAAGAACTTAAACACCAGTACTATTGTTTCTAACCAAGGCTAATTGTATTCTATACACTAAAGTGTTATTTCCTCTCTAAAAACATCTGAATACATGTGTATTTGGGCAGGAGAGATTCAACTGCTACATGGACAGAGGCAGGGGGAGAGAGAAAATATTCAGAGAAGTGAAGAAACAAAATGTCTATAGTTGTATGCAGCTAAAGCACTGCCCTTAGGTGTAACCAGTAAAGTGTACCTGCGCCAGGCCAAGATAATCTTGAACAGTTTCAGATGCATAAAATACTTCAAACTCTCTTGTCAACACAATGACAAAACCATCCAAAGCCTGAAAAATACGAAAACATATACATACATATATATCTTTACATAAACAGGATAAATTGATATATCTTTACATATATATGTATATATTGATATCTCTGTATAAAAGAGAATGGTACATGACTGTGTAAAATTCACATGCCTAAGATGAAGAATTACATTTTTAATTAAACTGATAACAATGTTGCAAATTTAAAAAGTCAGCAGATGAGCAAGGAAAGACATAAAAAGCCAAGTTCACCATTTCTGGAGCAGTCAATTACAATGTTCCAGCATTTGTTTCCCATATTCACTGTACATGTACATTGGACATCTGTTGAATACCCCATTTTCACAAGTCACCCTTTGGTCTTCCTAAATCTTTTTTCAATCCATCTTTATTAAATGATATATCTTTTCAATTTACAATTGAGAAAAGAGACTGGTTTGGCTATCTAAGCGTCCATTCTTTAGTGGTTATATTAAACCCTAATGGCCCCAAGCAAAGTAAGGGGATTTGCTACACAAAGATGATTTAATTAGCTTCAAGAATGATGACCATGTGGAAGACAATTGCTCAGGGCTCCACACTAACTTTTCAACTTGTTAGCCAAGTGGCTAGTGACAACTTAGATGTTAAAACAGTTTCAGTTTGTTTACTAGCCAGACTAGCTTGTGGAAATAAAAAACCACTGACCAAAACTGAATTTCTAGTAGTCTGTGGCTAGTTGGCTACCATTAATGTTGAGTACTGTCAGTGACATATGTTTGCTACATGTGAACCTCAAAATACTTAAAATACACTTAACACTATTGCAGTTGATAACAATAAAATGTGAACTGTGTCATAAAATTTCTTTCTACATAACAAGACACTAAATTTTGGTCAACCACTTTTAAATAGCTAAACCTCTGTTAACCAGTTGTCTGGCTCTTTTCCCAGTTACGACTGCTTAACAGATGCTTCAAAACATCATTTTCATTTTTTTGACACACAAGAATTGATACCACTAACCCACACATGTAATTAAGATGTATGGTCCACTTGCAAAGATCTACTAAAAGGGACATGGCTAATATATCCTCAACGAGAGTTTCATTCATCTAACATATACACATATAAATTATACTTCTCTCTGTCCATATTAAATCTAAATAAAAAAGAGACTTACGTCCAGTAGAAGCTTGGAAAATATTCCATTGCCTTCAAAGTCTGGGGGTCCATCAGAAAGTTTTCCAACTTTGCTTTCTTCTGTCCATTGCTGGCCTATTGAAAAAAAAAAAAATGGATTCAATTGAGGAATGCCTATTAAATAATTATGTTTGATCCTTAACTGCAATATCAGAGCAGATATATTTAACTTTTCACAAACTATCTAGATACTTGTAAATTCCCCAAGTCTCATTCAAAGACTAACAAACCCACTCAGAATCCTTATGATTACATTTGTGTGATAAGTATCACGACTTGGAACAAAACTAACCAGAGTCCACTAAACCATTTGTCTGTGATTCCAAAAATTTCATTTCAAATTCAAATATTCTAGTTCCCAAAAATGAACAGAAATTACCGCACTCTTCACAACGACAAATAATAGATATTACAGTTAAGCATTTTTCTTCCTCACAATTTGTATGAAAAATCAGAGTTTTCTCATCCTTCAACTGTGAACTGTAGTCTTAAGAGTGTACAAATAATACTATTTGAAGAACCAGATTTTTAAATTGGGGGGGGGGGGGCAATTTTTGCTTGACAAATAATTAGTCTCGAAAAAGCAAATTCATTTATTACATACTTCATTCTTAATAATAATCAGTACATTAAAATTTTCTCTATCTTCCACTTTGTGGATGGGCAACTGTTGTTGTTTTTGATCAGAACAAAATTTTGCAAAGGAGGTTAATGTGTGCATCATTTTTAGTTTTTTTTTTTAGTAAAAACTTCCTCCTCAAGCCAGTAGATTGTGAATGACACTGCAATTTTTTTTGACATCTGCTGACTATAAATCATACCTGCTGACTATAAATCATAAATCATTTCAGGGAAACGATGAATGTTCAGAGAACAGAAAAGTGATTCTTTAAACTGCCTGTGGTACAATTCTTTACATACCAGTTGAGAAAACATGAAACAAACAGACAAAACATTTATAACTGTTACCAAACAACCACTAAGCAAAAATGTCAAACAGAAAGGATAGATATCATTTACAAATTTGGATATTACAAGGTTTCCAAAACACTCACCTTTGAAGAAGTTTTTGGCTCTGAGATAACTAGCAGACAATCTCAGGATAGACAGTTTATCTAATTTCTGGATCACGTCATGAGGAAATGGCAAAAGTTTTGCAAGGTTATCTAGCTCAATGTTAAAACGGTCGCGATGCCGTTTAGATGGATTCAAGGAACCTTTGAGGCTAAAAAGTAAAAGTAATACAAACAATTATGTTAATGATAGCTTGAGAAAATAAAAAGAATTCAAGAAAAACAATATTCAAAAACATGTTCCTAAGAATCAATTATTTTAATATGCTGAAGAGTACTTGGCAAAAGATCAGTGGTAGAATCCTGATACAATTGTCAAGTTTATGAGAGATAGGTATCAGAAGGAAAAAAATATCAGTTGTGCTCAAGTTACTGCCTAAGGCAAATTGTTTTTGGCAAATAAATGTACCATTCAGCTTACTTAACGAAGCTCATTATCAAGTGAACAACTTAATGAAGGGTCAAAATTATTATGAATGGACGACAACAGTTTCTTTCTCTTTTTTTTTTTCAAAAGTAAAACCAAAACTCGATAATTTGTCAATTAATTGAGAAGCAGTAACACACTTTGTCTTTCTGGGTGTTCATTGTGCACTAGAGATCAGAGAATTCCCTATCTACTGCAAATCTTCCTCATAGTAAGGGTTATTTTTTATTTTGATGACCAGGGATATCTTCAACTGTTCTCCAGCAGTGAAAATTCTTCAATGAAAACCTTGTCTGACAGCTGAATGCAGTCTCTACTGTGTGGGGCAATTAAACAATTTCTTAGAAAGTGGTTTTATCGAAAAATACATTCAGTTCAGATATCTGTAAAGAGAAGAAACAATTCTTTGCATACTGTTTTTATTAAAAAATAATAATAAAAACAAACGGCATCTGGGATGATGTGTGTGGGATCGGGTTAAGCTGCTTATGCTGGAAGACTAAGGGCTCAAAATATAGTGCTGTGGTTACATGGTTTTGGTAACAAGTGCAAGCATAGTATGCAAGAGTAGATGCGTATACAACTCACTAACAACAGCATCGTCACTTGCCCTAAGAGAAGGAATGATTGTAACGGAAGGTGCACTTGGAAAAGTAATTAATTTCTGGCTGCCACACGAGAAGCTGAACCAAATTATTTAAATTCTTCCAGCCCACTGTTGCTTGAGCTGTCATCACACTTTCTCTCACTTGGCCAACATGTCAAAAATTAAGTGATTTTGAGACTCATCCCCAAAAGTAATGAATACTCAATCATTTGTCGTGCAATCTGAACTTGAGTGAAATCTAGATAACATCAAATAAGAAATCGTCGAAATCCTGTGTATGTAAATTCCAGTTTCCTCTTGATAATTAATGGTGCTTGATGTCTGTCCATCTAACGGTTTTCCTTTCCATCATAAACACAGGAAAGGGAGAGTATTCAGTTCAAAGAATAGGGTTACAAAAAACAAAAACCGCAGCCATTTTCTTCCAACGTGAAAATTCGTAAACAGAGAAAATTGATCAAGAAGCAAATAACAAAAGATGTTTATTTTTTCCTTAAAATAAGAATTTAAGCAGCACACTCACACTGGGGTGGCTAGAAAATTTTGAAATGGCGACCCGCGGCATGCTAGGCCTCCGTGACAAGAAACATTGGTTGTGAATTTCACACTTGGCTCACGGAATAACTATTCCCATCAAAATGATGGTCCAAAGCTAAACTTCCATATTCAATTTGCATAAGAATCAATTGAAACACGCCAAAGATAAAAGCCATGTGTATAATCCATGAAACACAAAAAGGACGAATTATTTTGACAGCCAGGTGAATATGTAAATTGCTTCAAACATTTGAAAAATGTTCAATGGGTAATGACTAAGCGCGCCTTTTTTCTCTTGTTGTGGACCCCCTATCTGTTGAAATTTACTTTAAAATCGTTCGTTTCTGTTAAAAAAATTCGAGTAGTTCTTAACAGTCAAGCACAGGTTGTTGAAAACCGCAACAAAACGCTTGGAATAATATAGATTGTCTCGAGAATGTTTTCCCATGTCGTAAATTATTATGAGCGTGGAGACAGAGGAAAAAGAGACTCGATACACGTAAAATATGAAGCGAATAGCCATGAAAACTTTATAAAACGTTCCTCGAAGGTTTTTTCTATCTAACTCTACAGAAAACATATTCATATACCGGCCGGGAAGCGAGAAAATGATTTCGTGCACGAGGGTTAAAATTGGTTGATCAACCCGAATCTCTGAAAGACAAACATGGCGGGCTGGGCCCCAAATAACAAAAGCGCTATTTCGCTGAAGTTAGCTCAAAAGGTCTGGATAAATCACTTCCACTATCTAATAAGTGAAGATATAACAAAAACAGAGCATTGTCGAAGAAGGTATAACCGATCATTTTCAACGCAAATTTCTTTTACTTACTAGCCCATTCACGGTTTTTTTTTAACCGAACAAGAATGCTCGACTCTCAACTTTCTTTGATCGGCCGCACTAAACCGAGCACGAATTTTGCAATCGTTATTCATTATGATGATTAAACACCGCTTCTCCCTTTTAAGCGTTCAAGTTAACTTCATTGCTTTAAAGGAGTAAAAGTATGCCGTGGCTGTCAAAGGTCACCATAAGATATACAGCACTATCGGTGTACCGTAAAGCATCGAATATAAGCTTAAATTAAAGAGTCGAAAACACCACCATGGAACATAATTCGAAGTTTACACGATCAGGCAGTGATCTAACTCTCTCGAAGTCCAGTTTTCAAAGTAAAATAAACGGAATTAATACGTTCTAACGCGCTAAAATGTTGCCCTTTTCGCGGGTTTCACACGGACGCACAGCGTCTGTAGCGATGTCAAATAATGCAAATTTTATTTCTACCACCCTTTTTTACACTCGCTTCACAGTATCGTGGCGGTGAATTTAACTCAGCCGGCTGGTGGGGTTTGTTTATACCATTGCTGAGAGGAGCTACAGTTTTGTGCTTCGTGGGGAGTGAACATCGAAGGGGTTCTAAACGCTACAATTCGGAAATGCACACCGGAAAAAGCTGAGGTATACATATGCCTTGCAATTTCTTTACCTTACAGAGACGAAAGACTAAATACACGCCAGGCACAAAAACCAGAACAGATGAAATAACAGATTGACCTCACTGTTAATGGCATCTATCAGATTTAAATCGTAATCGAAAAGAATAAGACGTAACCGGTTTTGCATTGATCAAGAACAGTTATCGACGTGCAGCCAAATTCATGCGAGCACAAGACAAGGCTATTGTCGCGCTACGGAGCACGGACTCAAAATATCTTTCTTCGCGACCCTACTCTCTTGCACTAAGATAAAAAAGTACAATTGTGAAAAAACTTACCTCGAACTTCGCTTCTTTCTTTTCGCCGTACTCATATTTTCGTCTGAAAAAACAAATCAACGCGTCGCCATTCCAGTCGTCGATATCTATGTTCTTTTCTTCGCGTCCAAACCGCGGTCTCTCGTCAATTCAAAGCGATTTCTGGTTGTAAAGCACGTTACGATCTCTAAGAAGGAATATCAAGCCAAGAGGTGTTTGGTTGCGTCTCCAAACAGTGCTCATTCGACGTAACTATGTTTGGAAATAGCGGCCATATTTTTCCGTTCACCCTCAAACCATGTACATGATGTCAAGTAGAAAATCGTGCTGAATAACCGAGCAAACACAATAGATCTCAAGCTGATTGGTCAGATAGTGAACCACTTACGTAAAACGTCACATGAAAAATTTGCATGCATATGAACTAAAGCGTTTCCGAGCTCAAATGAAAATTGAATTTATTTCATACCAAAATTTTGCAACAATAATAAAAAAAAAAAATTGCCTGTTGATGGTTTGGCACACCAATTTAATCTTTAGCGTCGATCTGAAACCCTACGTAAGTGGGTTATGCTTCGCCCCTCCTGCGAAAAACAATCGCAAGCAGGCTTCCATTGTTATCACACAAAAGCGACCATACGAAAAATAGCTTCGCGTTTTATTGACGAGCAAAGAGTACTTAAAAATGTTCTTTTGTCGAGAGTTCTCGAGAAAAGGTTGCGTTTTATCAACAAAGCATTTTAATGCGCGCGCTTTACACGGGGTCGGCGAAGGGCCCCGCGAGAATTATTGTGTAATTTCCAAGGCCATTTGAGGCGAAAGAGTAATATACAAAACAGCACGACAGAATAAAATGGGTTTATGAAATTTAGCCTTGTGTCAGTAGCGTAGCTGAATGGATGAAAAAATGTTCTCTAATAGCCAACCACAGCTCATCGCAGTCTGATAAGTAAAATCACTGCAGGGTGCTTGTTACTTTGAACCTGTGAGGCGCGGCTGGGGCCCTTCAAGAGACGGCTTTTCTAGCATTTTTTTACAATAGTTCGACTAACTTGTCAACGCCAATTTTGTTTTTGTACCTTTTCATTTCTAGACTGCAGGTGACACTTGACGCTGTATTATTCATACCATTTGGCCAACAGCAATCGTCTGTACTTCACGACTTTATTGTTATTATTAAGATTTTGAAATCTTATTTCCTACTATGGCTAGGGGAAATGATTTTCAAGATGATATCTTCAAAGCCAATGTTTTTTATTATTATTATCTCCATTTTTTGCCGAAAAAATGCCCTTTTTGCGAAAATTATCTGTGGGAAACTGCTTCCAAAAATTTGGTTGCCTTAAATTGTCAGAAGAAAATCTTACTTGAATCAGACGAGGAAGAGAGAAAAATGTCCCCACGCTTTATTGATTCAGAAATCAATTGTCGTGAACTGAACATCGCTGAGGTACCTAAGGATTACTATTGATCTGTGTTTTTCTTCCAAACGCAAGGCCTTTATTTGTTGAAAACTTAAATTACTCAGACCTTTGGTACAAATGTAATGAATGATTGGATTTTGATGCATCTGTTGCATCCAATACTATACTACAGACAAGATCTCCGTCGCATTGAACATCCCACAATTTTAGTCTTTGGTAGACAATTGAACTTATATTTATTCCAACGAGACATATTTTACTGTTGTAAAGATAGCGTTATTTCAGATCGGAAATGATTTTTTTTTCTAGCCGTACACTGTTAAACAAAACACTGATTCCAGTGCCGCAGGTTGTTGGAAAAAGACTCGAACAAAGCAAGCTTTGTTGCTATTTGGCGGGAATCATAACACCTGTCTGTCTAAAAGCCGTATTTAGAATTTCCCCTCCCACGTGTCAATGTTGTTTGTAAAATGTCAGTATAGACGCATACAAACAAAGTAATGAAGTCTAAAACGACTCCTTTTGAAAATGATTTAAAAGATATCACCGGATCTTTCTTTGTTCCGCATAAATGAACCTGCGTCAGTATTAGAAAGAAACATCGTACGTAACGACTTAATTTTGTTCCAGACCCCAACTTTTAGTTATATTTAGTTTTGTTATCCAGTGGACCATCATAAACCTCCATGAATCCCTCGGAAACTTCAGTAAATCAAGCTGAAAAAAATAAAGCGAGGGAGAGGTAGTCAAAAGAAGCCCACACTAATGAACTCAAACACAAACCTAAACAAAGTGACATAGAACTGGAATAATTGCCGTGAAATTGGATGCACAAAAAGTTTTTCGTGTTTGTCTGTGGTGGTAACAAAAAATGCATTCATTCACCGTTTATCTTTCGCCTTTATACAGGAATATCTTTCTTTATTTCGGGTTGCAAGTATTTGACAAGGTAAATGGATAAATTATTTACTTTGTTTTAAGATCAGATACAATGTGTAAACACACCTTAAAACCTTGAGAAATCTTTGTAAAATGCTTAAAAGATTTTGCTACAATTTCTGATCTGTGATACTGAGGTAAACGAATTTCACTAGAAATCTCGGAAATCCGGTTGCATCCTCTGGAAATTTCATTTCACATGTTCTTGTTCTTATTATAAATATTTTACGTGCCTCTGTTTCTGTTCTTGTTTGTCAGTCAAAGTTTGTCCGCATTTTGTTTTAAGCGACGAACAGGTTCATGTTTGCAGATGTATAGATTTGGACATCAAGAATAGGGTTGCCGAATTTGAAAATTCCATGGCCACGAATCGCGACTTAATGACCGAATATTTTATCCAGGATCCCGGATTTTTTTCTGTTCAGAATTTTGGATTAGGGATAACATCGTTAGTTTAGGACCAGCCTTTGTATTATTTTGGTGTTGCGTGTTTCAATTTGTCGGCATATATAGAACTTGAAATCCTTGGCAACGACTTCCTCAGACAGAAAAATTTGCTAAAAATTGAATTGCGCTCTCAAGGTCAAGGAAAAGTAAATAAAGATTAAAATTAGAACTCATACGCAGCATGTTGATACTACGAAAGTTTCAAAGGAACGGGGTTCCGTCAGGTCTGCCAGCGTCTGTTGCCACCCCAAAGGCTCCGTCCCCCCATTAGAAGCGCGACGGGGTTAACTTCCAAAACATATCTTTGGCCTGCTTCAGACTCATCAGACGTCTAGAGTGTGTATTCAAGTATTTGTAGTCCATCTAGATGAAAAGAAGTTGAGGACTTCTCATCAAAAGAGTTTCTTCGCCTTATCATAGCTATCGAGTTCTGTATTAAATTACCTTTTTATCTATATCTAGATTGCGGTGGTTTTACCAAAAAAGCGCGTGCGATTTCAGTTTTTAACAGAAACGTAACAGCGAGGGTTAGGAATCATTTCTGGCGCCAGGGAAATTGCCGTTAATCGTTTAACTCCCAAAATCTGATTGGAATAATCTTCTTCATAGCTTCATAAAATGTTTTGAGTTTCGCAGATATGGCGTTATTTGTACTTTTCTCATGAACGGTATTGAAAGGCAGTTTGGTAAATAAGAGGGACAAACATGTATTTAAAGATGGCAAAATACTTCTGATTAAACAAACATAAAACTTGAAAATGCTGGCTTCATAACCCAGGATTCACGGACTGTGAATAACCTTGGAGAGTCACAAGTATCATTTATTAGACGAGCCCGTGCAAATCACCGCCCTTTCTCTGTTATGTAAGGTCATTCACGTTTCACGCGTAGAGAACGTGACTTGCCGTGACAACTTGAACAAAAGACTCTTTCAGCAATTCTTCGTGTTAAGTGTCAAGCTCTGGTGCCAAGACTGGCTGGCTCTGTTTACTCGTTCGGTGTTTTGAAAAGTACACATAATTGTTTACAACAATCAATATCTGTTGTGTTTCTCGCTACCTCGGGTTCACGCATGGCTGATTAGATAAGCTGGTTCCGAATTTCTTTTACTGATCCTGGATCCTCGATCATCACTTCAGCATAGCCACAAGTTAGGGGAAACGGAAATGCCTTGAGGTCTTAAAGTGTTTTCCGCATGTGGTAATGGGAAGAAAATAATAACAAACAGGGAAAATTAGATGAAAACAAAACTCTTTAAAGGAACGATGTGTGGCATGGTGAACCCTGAAGGAATTCTTCGCATGACGTTCTGCTCTCTTCGTTCCTTTTAGGATAAAACCGGTACTGATATTCGATTGAGCTATTCTTAGGTGCAATAACGAATAAGTTTTGGAGACATAACCCCAGAAAGGAAGACCGGGAAACTCGAGCTCGTGCAAAATGTCCCTCTCCTTAGTTCGTTAACATATTGAGATCGAACCACACAGGGTTGTGTTGTGAAATAAGTCATGAACCCCACTCAAGTTGAGGAAACCCAGGTCTGGACTGCCGGCCGCGAGACTGGGAGACTGGGTAGAAACTAAAGGAAACGCAGCACAGTGTAACTTAAATGTAGATTAACTAACTGCATGTGAAATCCAAGTCAGCTCTAAGAAATCTCTCGAACTTGATGGACCGGGAAAATGTTTTTGAGAGATAAAAAAACCGATAAGAGCAGATTAAAGCCATTCTCGCCTTGAGAGTTTTTCAAGTGTTGTCCAGACAAATCCATTTGCGATTTCCACTTTATCTATGTTTTTATCGATCAAGGAGGTTGTTTCCTGTGGTCGGTGTTTCTCTGGCTTTCAACTTCCGGGAAGACATACATTCTCCAGAAGAAAGATTTTTTGTTTCCCTGAAATTTGAAAGGTATTGAACCAAGCTTGACCCATAGTGAAATTCAACTCCAATCGATTCGAGCTGCTAAAGAATTATTCACAGCCGTCTTTCTTTTATAGAGTTAAAATAGTACAAAAAGGAAATATACATTGATCCTTTCAGTATCTGTAGAAACTACCCACTAACAAAAATTAAACAAGTCGGCAGCACTTTGGTCTTGGTTTGTATAAAAAGCTTCATCAATAAGAATGGTTTGATATTCGTTAAAGAAAAGAGAAGATTACACAGTGAAATCAAATGATGAGTGAAATTGGCAGTGTGCTCTCCTTTCTGCTGCGCACGCGTCCTCTCTACAAGAGATTGTATCCCAAGAGATACATTTTTATTTTAACCCGGCCACAGACACTCTTTTTCTGACCTAGATGTACAAACCGATTAAAATCAATACCGACTTGTGACAATCTGTCCACAAGACTGGATTATCTGAAAGAAATACTTAATTCTGATAAGATTATACTTGAAAATAAAGTAGGGGATTAGAGGATGCATATAACGTAACATTTTCCTTTCATCCCTGACCTCATCGGCTTTTTCCGTCTAAAGATCATGCCCTGGGTATCATTTTAACAAGGACATA